TAAATCACATTAAAATTCAGTTTAAATCCATTGTAAATTCAGCCTCGAGCATATTTATCTTATCTGGACTATAAAAAGTGTGTATAATCTTATTGAGGTGGAGCAGTGCACACACCTGTTTTTTTTCTTCTTTCCTAGCCTGCAGTCAAACACTTCTGCACCTCCTGCCTCACACCCCCCAAACCCCCCCACCTCCTCATGCTGAAACCCATTACAGAAATACAATTTCTAATGCCTTCACACAGGCTCGCGATCGACTGCAAACAAATTTATATTCAGCCCGTAAACAGAGAGCAGCAGAGATTTATTTATTGAGCGGAGAGGAGAGAAACAAGCTAGCGCGTGAACCCTGGGTAACCCCACAGCTGACATGAAGATGGATAAGTGTACCATGCAAATGTACAGAGGGAAGGAATATATTGCACTCCGTTATTCAGTGCATCGCTGCCCGTAGAATTCCATTTATTCTTCCAGCTGGGACCAGATCTCTGGGGTTGCGAGTGCACAGTTATACATTGTTGATTATTTGAGATTGTTTTTTAATCACTGCAGAGCCCTAGTAAAACCCTTTATTGGTCATATAAGCGGAAATCCCTCCTTCTGTGCAGTAGTTCAAATGCAGTTGCAATGATAGTTTAAATGCAAACAATATCATAACTATATTAGGTCTATTAACATTGTTACTTTTTTTTATCCGCTTTCCTAATTAACACATGCCATTTAATTATTAAAACACATTTTATGCATTTTAAAATACAACTAAAATTAACACAATCACCTCAGTTTTAATCCAGAAGCTCAACATGGCATTAGCAACACCAAATTGAGTCCTAGACCTAGAAAACACTGACACTTTTATCCACAATGACTTCAGTAAAGCATGAATGTAAATGTGTTGCAAATGTACTTACAGCTGTTAAGAAGGTGGCTTCTGTACATGTCTAAGTATTTCTATTTTCTGATCTTGATCCAGTGTTGAAATCTTTTGAACCAATAAGACTTTTTTTAATGACTGAGCTACTGGAAGGAGAGACCAAGTCTGAAAGTATAAAGACCACATCTGTTACGGCTAAATAGATGTGAGAGTGATGTTCTCCTGATAACCTCTAAAGGTCATATCTCTGGTGATCTCTTTCTAATGCTCTATGACTTTGGTGAAACTTTTTGGAATGTCACCTGTAAAATATTATGGAATGTATATGTAAAACAATCAAAAATGCCTCACACGCCCACCCCCAACACCCCATCCCCCATCCCCACCTCCTCATGCTGAAACCCATTACAGAAATACAATTTCTAATGCCTTCACACAGGCTCGCGATCGACTGCAAACAAATTTATATTCAGCCCGTAAACAGAGAGCAGCAGAGATTTATTTATTGAGCGGAGAGGAGAGAAACAAGCTAGCGCGTGAACCCTGGGTAACCCCACAGCTGACATGAAGATGGATAAGTGTACCATGCAAATGTACAGAGGGAAGGAATATATTGCACTCCGTTATTCAGTGCATCGCTGCCCGTAGAATTCCATTTATTCTTCCAGCTGGGACCAGATCTCTGGGGTTGCGAGTGCACAGTTATACATTGTTGATTATTTGAGATTGTTTTTTAATCACTGCAGAGCCCTAGTAAAACCCTTTATTGGTCATATAAGCGGAAATCCCTCCTTCTGTGCAGTAGTTCAAATGCAGTTGCAATGATAGTTTAAATGCAAACAATATCATAACTATATTAGGTCTATTAACATTGTTACTTTTTTTTATCCGCTTTCCTAATTAACACATGCCATTTAATTATTAAAACACATTTTATGCATTTTAAAATACAACTAAAATTAACACAATCACCTCAGTTTTAATCCAGAAGCTCAACATGGCATTAGCAACACCAAATTGAGTCCTAGACCTAGAAAACACTGACACTTTTATCCACAATGACTTCAGTAAAGCATGAATGTAAATGTGTTGCAAATGTACTTACAGCTGTTAAGAAGGTGGCTTCTGTACATGTCTAAGTATTTCTATTTTCTGATCTTGATCCAGTGTTGAAATCTTTTGAACCAATAAGACTTTTTTTAATGACTGAGCTACTGGAAGGAGAGACCAAGTCTGAAAGTATAAAGACCACATCTGTTACGGCTAAATAGATGTGAGAGTGATGTTCTCCTGATAACCTCTAAAGGTCATATCTCTGGTGATCTCTTTCTAATGCTCTATGACTTTGGTGAAACTTTTTGGAATGTCACCTGTAAAATATTATGGAATGTATATGTAAAACAATCAAAAATTCCCATTATACTTTAGACATGCAAACAGTTAAGATTAACAGAGTAAGGTTTTAAAAGTGCAAATGCACACTTGGTACCTTAAGGAACTATTTCTTATTATTGTGACTTAAATTTAACCAGTAAATTAAGATGTTACCAAATGGACATTTTAGGTTAACTGAAAAAAATAAAAGAATAATTGAGCATTAATTGTCATATTCCATACATAAATTTAATCTCTCTCAAGTTTAATAGGCTAAATCTTAATTAAAAAATGGAAGAAAAGGAGAGAGAAAGACAGAAAATCTGTACTCTGTAATAGTTATGATCTTCGTTATTTCTCGTTTAAAGTAAAAGTGCTGGTCAAAAACGACTCCTGTGCTTATTTTATTACGGTTTTAAATTTCAGGCATTTATTTTAAATTACAAGAATGTTAATGAAAGCAGCAAAATAATAAAGTATGAGAAAGAGTTTTTTTTCTTTTCTTTTATGCAGTAGGCAATATAAAGCCAGCATTTTAGGCTATAATAAAGTTTAGCAACGACGCGACGGTTGGGCTTAGCCTATAATAAAACTCTCTGTACTTTGATTTAGGCCTATTCAGTTTTTAATATTATTTTATGAAACAACTATTTAACGAATTAAAGTATTTAATAATCTTGTCAGTTTGGCTTGCCAATTGTTTAGAAAGAATGAACAAATCTTAAACTAAAAAAAATGAAATCGTTTTTGTGTGTAAAGCGGTTAATTATTGCAGGGGAGGCAGCTGCTAATTATCATTTGACCGACGAATGACCTGCAACGACAGCTGTTTAGAGCACACATAATCACTCAGAGATCTCATACAATTACCTGATAATTCACTTTTAACATCATTTCAGCTTTTATGTTAGATTCCCTATGGTCTAGAACAGTGGTTTCCAACCCTGGTCCTGGAGGCACCCCAACACTGCACATTTTGCATGTCTCCTTTCTCTGACACACCAATTTCAGGTCTTGGAGTCTCTACTAATGAGCTGATGATCTGAATCAGGTGTGTTTGATTAAGGAGACATGCAAAACATGCAGTGTTGGGGTGCCTCCAGGACCAGGGTTGGGAACCACTGGTCTAGAATTCAAAACAGAGTTTCAGTTTTTCCGAAGAATGTAGAGAGAAGACATTTTTGCGTTTTAAAGATAATCGGAATATGAAAGAAGATGGAATGCAAGTGTAATGTGGATTACCTGGATGAGCTTGAGAGCTACATGGACGTTTCTAAGTTTCTTTTCAACGTTTCAGTGACGCAACAATCGTATGCATGAACCACAAGATCCATGGCTGTCTTATTAACAACTATTGACAATGGCTTAAGACCTTATTCCCTGAGCTGTATACATTTCGGGTATAATCTAAGGCCGCTATACTGACTATAAACGACATTGATTTTCTGTAAGTGCTAATCTGAAGAGCAGATATGGACTGAGCCTTATAGAAACACACACACAAATATTCCGCCATTTTGTGCTAAACGTAAAATTAAAACACAATACATAGCCTATCAGTAAAATTAGCCTAAATTAGAATAATATTTTTTTTATCTGGGTCTGGAATAAACCATTTATTTATATTCTAAATGTCACAAATGCCTTGACATTTATGCAAAATTCGCAGCAAAATGAAGTGCGTTCGGGCACACACACTCCACGAGACCTTATTAGCAGGTCAAATAAAAGTCGCTCAAACTTGCTTGCTTTGGTAAATTAACGCTCACTCAGATGAGGGAGATGTCCGGCTATTGCAATAGCTATTGGCCAAGAGTTAGAGGGCACGTCATCCCCATCCATCACCGATCGAATGTTTCTAGAAGGCATGCCCCTGTCAGTGCCTCTGTCCTTTTGCGCGCTATGTGTGGCGTCTGTGGATGGAGTTTCTGTCGCGTCCATCCTGGGATGAAAATCTGGAATATATGAGATGCAGTCATGAATTCGTATCAAGGGTTCCGGGACACAACGTCACTCTTCATCAAGGGCTATCATGCTACTGGAGTTATCCGTCTGCATCAGGACCACGAATCTACTACTGACTTCCCAAGCAGAGAGGAGGGACGTGTCAACACCGAGGCGGATTTTCTTCGGTATCATTTCACGAATCTCAGTGCCACGGCCACAGGCGCGTGTTCAAAGCCCTGTAAGGACCCTGGCCGTGCTAACTCGACCAGACCCCCCTTCCCCCATAATCAAGATTTCTATAGACCAGTGCACCCCATCCGACCCCAAGTCCCCTCCTTCCAAAGCTGCCGTGAGCAGGGTCTCTCCAGAACGGGCTTCTCCTCTTCCTCAGACACTTTAAGAACTTTCTCCGGCGCGCATTGTGGACTCGGCCCTGTCAACAACACGCACCTCGATGTGCACACATGCGACGGCCGAGTGCTTCACCCAGCAGTTGAGGACAATAATACCAGATACGAGGCTCTAAACACGTTAAATGAGACACTGCGAAGTGGAAAGACTTTCAATTGGATGAGAGTGAGGAGAAATCAGTCCCGTACAGGTAAGCTGACTAGTTTTTTAATTCGATGAACTTTTCTGCAGCGCATCTTTACAGCTAAGTGATGTATTGACCGAGTGTACCAACATCTCTGCCTTCTCAGCTTTAAAAATTCTAGTGGTTTGATTTAAAATACAATGCGAATGTTTTTTTTAATAACTATCTCGTTTTTTCAATTTTCTCTGACTGAAAGTAGTGTATACTAAGTAGGACAAGAACTTTTCAGCTAGCAGAAATGAATCCTTGGAGGTGGAGCTATGTGTGTCTACAAGTTTGGCTGTACTTGCAAAGGTCACATTTAAAAAAAAATGTACTCACAAATACAGTGAAACATGATCAGTTATGAGGACATTTCAAGTGTTATGTAGTATTTGGCTCATAAATCAACCAAGTAATGTTTTACTTTATATTGACCCATATCAACAGGTTTGAATAAAGGGTCAGGTTTAGGGTTTAGCAAATATTATCACCTAAAAACCTCAATGTGCTTGAAAAATAAAATGTTACATGCTAAGGTAGTATATTTTTATATAAGAGGAACACTTTTCCTCGACAGAGCCCTAAATCTTAATAGAGACCAATGTTTATATGCTGCAATTAATTTTCTATATTGAATGTTGGGAAATGTTTATCAGAATCTCAGTGTAATCCTTAACTGGAATAATGATCGGAGAGGTCTGCGTTTAATGCAGTTCAAATGTGAGTTACTTGACATGTGCTCATAAAATGTCATGCTCAATGACATTTGACCTGTATTATGTTCGAAGTATTTCATGTTTGTTGTGAGAGCTTTGTGTTAAATTGTGAATCGCTCGTCCCCCTCAATAAATCACAATGTATGTATTAGGTTGATGGTAAAACCATGAAGAGCCCTGTTTGATTTGTCATTTCCTACGAATTAGTAATACAGCATTCATATGGTTTCCAGACTGTCAAGGAGAAGAATGTCTGGCCAGGCCACACTGATGATCTAAAATAACTCACAGGCAAATATGTCAGCGAAAAGGTCATTTCGGGCTATATTGCCCAGCGTATGAACAACAGCTGTGGTCAGGAATTAGGATGGAGAGGCCTGCTATAGCAAATCCCAAAAGCTTGAATGGTGGCAAGGCCAGGAGTTCACAATTTCTTTACTGTATTGGAGCTTCTGCTGTTTGTTTCTTTTTCTCCTGCCTGTCCACCCACATTCACCTAGAGACACATGAAAGAGGCATTGTTTGATATCAGG